TCGCACAAACAGTCAAAGTTCCGCCGCTTCATTTCTTCAAAGCGTTTTCATTAAACTTGATTGGAGTCACATGTACAAATTGTGGCCATGGAGTGTTTCCCATTTTAAATATTTTTCCGCTCCTTCTCTCTCTCCCCCCCTCTCTCTCTCTCTGTGTGTGTGTGTGTGTGTCTCAATTTGCTTTGAAGTGTGATCTCTGCCAGACCGAATATGAGGGCTGCATCGTTTCGATCAATATTATTTTAAAATAGTCGCATCATCAGCGTGAAAAATTAAATACTTGACTGGGTTAGACGAAGACCTCTCATATTGTACATTGAGACCGAATTCAAATCAATTTTACAACTGGGCAATGTGCTTTTGAACACTGTGTAGCGATAAATTATAAACAAAACGGCAATAAAACTCACTCCAAGATAGATATATACAAAGATAAAGCGAAAAAAAAATCGAAACAAAAGTCGCGTTGCGGCGGCGCTATCTCAAATTTCATCGGTCTGTTGTTTTGCGATGGTTTTATCTCTCCGTCGCTCATTTTCAATTTAATTTGTTCAGTCATTGCAGGAATATATGTATTTTTTTTTCTCTTCATTATTTTTGTTTTTATTTATTGTGATTTGTGCGAGGCATTAAGCATGTGTTCTTCGGTGTGTCTTTCTCGTCGCGGCATTATTCGGCCGTTAATGATACCTCTCAACACAATTGCGCTTCAAGCCGAAGCACACATTGCCGATCGCATTTAAAAACTCTCTCACTATCCAGTCAGTTTTTATTATTGTTATTAACCTGAGTTGATTTTACAACTATTTCGTCTCTCTCTCTCTCTCTCTCTCTCTCTCTCTCTCTCTCTCTATCACTCTATGCGCTCTTACGTTTGTCATTGCTATTTCATTGGGCATATTTTGCATAGATTAGATTATAGACAGTGTCCTATGGTAAAGTTACAGCGAAGAAAAGAAGTAAAAAAAATGTCAAAATACGATAAATAATGAAAAGCGTGGAGCTTTGTTTGCGAGCATGAAAGATCAGTGGCATTGAATTTGTTTGCATGGTGGATTTTATGGAGCAAAAATGTGACAAAATGCACGAGAAAAAATGTTCAAACAACTAAGATCATTTATATTGTACTCGATCACATGCTTTGCAAATACCATAAACAAGTTAAATAAACATAAAAGGGAACGCTCCGCTGTTCTATTGCAACAATATAAATAGATTTTGTAACATATATTTTTATTTTTGCATTTTATACGTCATAAATTCGCAACAGAAAAACCGTTTTTTTGTTTGGAAAAGTAATCGAAATGGATATAACTGCTCCTCCACCCGATTCGATTCCACTCACCGTCAAGAGGCAGTTTTTCAAACAGTGGTTGTGAGTCGAAATTAAATAAATAGTCAAGAAATGATATAAAACATCAATGAAACACTTTGAAGTGATAAAAAATAATGAGCTCAAGAAAGTTGGAAAAAAAAATGTTGAAAGGGCAAACGGTTCAAGTGTTACTGATCGCATTCAACTCAGAGTCAAAACATTTGAAATGAAAGGCAGAGAGAAAAAAAGATGCAATTTGAACGAGTCAAACTGCTCTCGATACGTTGGCACTGTGGCATATAACTGTTATCATAATGAAATTTGCATTTGGTCCAGCGTCTTTCAACTGAATTAAATAAAAAAAGAAACGGAGAAGAAAAAACGCATAACCAAGACATTTATTTACACCGTGTTCACACTACACAGGTATTATGGATGATAGCGATTGAGATACTTGAATTATTTAATGAACTGTACGACTGCAACCGTAGAGCAATCGTTGCAACATTTTTTTTTGTTAATATGCATATTCACAATCGTTCCATGGTTGGCAAATCGACTCTCTACATTTCTTCTGTCCCGATGGAATAACGCAGAAAAATAAATTAAATGCTTTAAAATGCAACAAAATAGACAATAATCGTGGACTTGAAATATGGAAATGAATGGTTGCGCGAATTTTGCTTGCAAACCCAACAGATCACATCTTTTAGTTTATGAAGAAAAAAACACACATCATGGAATGATCTCATTTATCCATACTTAATGAATCCACTTACAATCATACATTTTCATTTATTTTGAAGAAGAAAAAAAAGAGTATATATGCAAAAACACAAGAAAATTTGGCTGAAAACACGCTTGATTTGCTATTTATAACAAGACGATTTTCGATAGAGTCCTTTTTATTTTCACGGGACTTGTCATACCATCCATTTGGTCGTACAATTTGCGCACAATGAAAGATTTGCAACACAAATAAGCGTGAAATCGCACGATGTATTTGCCATCGTAGCTGCATGATGCATGCACCAATTTTATGAACTAGCCGCTAGTCTTCAAGATCAATTAAGTGATAACAGTGGCACATAAATACATTATCATTGCAGGTAACAAAAGGCGACTGTCGGCTTTGATGCGATCCACACTCTGTTACTATTGGTTTTTGAAAATACCCGATCAAAACTGAAGAAAAAAAGAAAATATTATTTCCAATGTGCATAGTAAATCTGCGTTGTTACACAGTCGCACAAACAAAGGAAGAGGAAAAACTTCCAGTCGAAGAAGATATATGATTATTGGAACAAACATTTTTCGGACTATGTTGTATCGCGCTTTATCTGCTATTGCAGAGTGCGCCGCGCGCAATGACTCAAGACAGAGACTCAAATGTGGCATTTATGCAGATTTCTAGTCGCTTTTTTTCCTGCTGCATTTACTTCAAAGTTTCTTTCATTGAGATTATCGAACCAAAAACACTGTGCACATATAGGTATATGCTAGCCACGCACAGACAAACAAGACTAAGACTGTTGATAATTACAGTCATCGTTTGCTCTCATAACATTACAAAACCAAATGAAACTTGTTTTTTGGTGCATCGCGCTGTCGCTTCTACCTTGCCTATAACAATTTTTTTCTTCTTCTTCTTCTGCGCTTCTTTCTATACAATAAAGATACAAAAAAAACCAAATGTACTATCAAAACGCGTGTTATTTCAATGTCGAAACAGGCTATTTGAGATATAAAACAGAGATTTGGACTTCTTGGCCAATGCAATATTATTCAAAGAACTACGTGCGTGTGCTCGACAAACGTTATTTAATGAGAATGGATTACATACATTGACGCAAAGTCGCAAAGACTATTCAAACAAAGATCGATGCAGAGAATATACAATTTCACACAGAAAATATTCAGAGCTTCAATCACATCAATTGATTAGGTTTCTACTTTGAGTTTCCATAAGATTTAATTTTCATTTTGAAATAAATAAATTAATTCAAATTTCACCTAAAAGATCGCTTGTTTCAAGTCAAATATTTAATTAAAAACAATTCACTATTCGCAGTGAAAGAGATTTTTGCATGAAATACGACCCATACGACCTTTCCTAGCTTGAGGAAGTTGACGGTTCTCACTGGTGTCGTTGTCACAGGTGAGAAATGGTGTAAGACCACTTTTTGTTCATTCTTTTCTCTATCGATATCGCGCCAAAACACACTTACGTCCATGTTAAATCCTAATTTTCATTGGCAATTACGTTAATGTTGGACATTTTCGATTAAATAAATTGAAAATTGTCATAAATAAATATTAAGAAGAAAAAAAAAACAAAAACAAAATATTGAGCAAGCGAAAGTACAAGACTGAAGTTTGAATTACATTTAACTGTATGTAAATATTTTAACGGTGATCTACGAACTGAGCGTTAAGAACTCGTATTTTTCAAATTCAAAGCCATTAATTTATGTTGTGCGCATTGCAATTTTTGTCTTCGCTCAGTTGTTGTTGTTGTTATTTTGTTGGTGTTTTTTTTTTCTCGCGCATGCAATTTACATGACAACGTACCGCAGCCGATGTAGTTTATGAATTTCGGTTGTTTTAATTCATGTTCTGTACACGTTTGTCTGAATCGCACCAACCGATTTACTTTATTCTTTGTGCGTTGTGTAACACTTGAAATCGACGTTGAACTTTTATTCTCTTTCATCCCATGTTTGGGTGATCGAGAAGTCCATTGGCGCTGGATAAAATAGCAAACGGTCATTCAATTTTGCATATCATCATGTATTAGATAAATCATTATCTAACAGCAAGATGTCATAAAAACTGATTCGACGAAGAGAAAAAAAGAGTCCATTTGACTCATTGGATTTCCGTTGCTGCAACCTGTTAGCGGTGATTTCAAACATTTATCGCGCACCAAACGTTTAACTCTTTAAATTATAAATCTGAATGCACTTTAATCGTCGATGTTATTACGTTAAGTGATCAAAATAATTATTACAAGCTGTGCGACTGTGCATTTCATTTGCTTTATATTTTCGATATTAATCGTGCAACTTCTGTTCTAACCATATATTCATATCATCCGCGGATTGTTTTCAGTTTTGGTTGTTGTGTGGCTGTTTCGTTGTTTTGTCAGTGAAAAGAAATGATCAACAACGATATATCCAACAGCGAAAATAAATTGCGAATCGTGTAACCATGCCACAATGTTAAGCATTGACTTCTCTTTTTTTTGTGGTTTTCGGTTGTTGTTTTTTTATGCGCGCTATGCAAATCAATATATGTAAAACAAACATGACAACAAGCAGTGCAATTCTTTATAGATTCCGTAAAAACGATAAAATTGAAAACTATACACGCCACCCAGAGACGACGAGAGCGAAAGAATGAGCCAAATTTACGTTTTTCGTCGCCTCATTGAAAGACAGCCAGGCATAAGAAGAAGAAGAAGCAGAAGCTAAAAAAATGAGAGAATGCCTTCTTTTGGAATTCAATTCTCAGTTTCACGATGCAATTGTATCAAATATTTTAGAATTGTGCAATTTTACAAGAATGAAAAAAATCAAAACAAACCAAATAATAAATAGTCTATGTTTCTAAACATTTTAGCAATTGTATGTTTATATTTCTATTCTGATCATTCACATCATCATGAGAATAAATTATGTATTACCTTTTCAGTATTCCGTTGCTGTCGTTTCGGAGCGAGTATCATAATTGTAACAGTTTCATTGCGATCGCTTGCACATGCATTCAGATGAAGAAGAGGAAGAAGAAGAAAAATTGGTATCACGTAAAAAACACTGTCCTTTTATTACACTGTTTATATTTATACAGTAAACTTCACTAGTTTGAGCACATTCAAGCGATTTCCGTACGACAGTTCATTATTATATGCTTTGTAATAGATATACAATTTAAAATTAAGCCGACAAAAAGCAAAAACAACCATTTAAAAAAAATCAACAACAAAACATTCACGCTAATTTGTTCTGCTTTGAATTCTTAAAATTTAATCGTGCTTTTGAATTTCTACTTTTTACACTTGATGACGACCATTTGGCACGATCTTTTCTTTTTTACATTTAAAGTTCGAAGGTTTTCACTGTCTATATCTAAATTTGGAACAAACAAAAAATACGTAATGTACGATAACCAAATTGGCTTTTACAAACAAAAGTAAGAGCACCCATAAAATACAAATGGTACACACGTTGAAAAAAAACAATTTTTAACTGAAGCACAAAAACAACGATGCGACTCCGTTCGTTACTCGTTTTCGACTGATACATTTTTCGCGCATGTGAGAGAAAACTGATTTGTTTCGATTATGGTGTGTTCGTACTTCGTTCCGCACACTGTACGGTAAGAGATTTTTCATAGCGCAAAACTCATTCGTCGCACATCCGTGACGCGTTTCAATCTGGAGAACTGCGTGAACGGCCTTGTGGCAGTGGCGCGCACACTGCATATATAACGACTGCATTTGCCGATTTGCTTAAAGGAGTTGTTTATCATTTCATTAAGCAAACTAATGAGGCTCGGAAGTCGATTTGGATGCGCTCGAAATAAAGTTTGCTTAACAAGCGCATTGATTTGATCGCACGGTATTCAGATTAACATCTATCTTATATATATAAGCCTTGGCATACCTCCAACATTCACTCTGAATATCAATTGTTGTTACCTGTTCAAGTGGAATAAAACTTCAATCATTTAAAATCGCTTTCGTTTATTTCGCATCAAAAAAAGAAGAAGAATCGTCTTCGGTGTAAATGCAATCAAAAACAAAATCTTACAAAAATTTTAAATTTACTTGTGTCTCTTTTTCTTCAGAAGCGGATTCTAAATTAAATATAAATATGGATAAATGATGAGATTTTGACAACAACAAAAAGCGACGATGTTAAATCGTTGGACGGAATTATCATTATAAGACCACGTATACTTTCTCTCCGGCTTGGTTGCATTAGGAATATAAATCGAAATATCAAATTCGATTGTTCGATATATAAAAAAATCATTTCTAAATGCCTATAATACAATGTAAATGGTTATTTGTTCAAGAGATTCACGCGAGTAAAAAAATAAAATTCTTACATAGATCTCGATGTGATAGCAATAATTCTTTAAAACTTATCAACTAATTGAATGTTTGTGTGATTTGAACGTAGTTGCCGTTTGCAATAGCAATTCATTGATCCGATTGCGTTTGCTGTAAAGCTTTAATTCTACTCTAATGGCTGTGTGAATGGATATGCATGTTTATGGCATCAACAGTTCAATGTTGGGTGATTGGATTTGGAGGTAAATTTGATATTGTGAGAACACACACAACCAACAGTATATCTGAAAATTCAATTGAAATCAATTCAAATTATTCGATTGATAAGGCAGTGAAGAAAGCAGTAAAGATACTTACATTATAGCCCATCCATAACCAATTTATGAAGCATGCATAGGTCGCTTCCAACTGAAAGAACATACCATATTTTCGCTCAATTCGAAGTAGATTCAATGTTTCAAATTTCTCATGAGGTTCAGTGACTTACATAAATATAGTATCCATACAAAAGCCAAATACCGAACAAGAACTGGAATATGCATCCACCTCCCCACAAGATGAGCCATGGCAACAACCATCCTCGAGTACTAAAAGATAGAAAGATTTTTGATATGTATAAAAGTCGTCGGAATAAGAAATAATAATAACATTTTTAGTCTTACCTGATCTTAATGCCAAAGCAAATCAAATAGGCCGACAATATCAGTGCAATAAAATACACAATCCAAAGTACACCATAGAATATCATCGAGTTCCGAATGTCTGTTTCAAATAATGGTGAATACAATTGGGAAGAATCGCCGCCGCTTAGTGCATACACCACCTGTTGAAATAAGAGATCAGTTTTTAATAGGTTCGGTCAGTTACAGTCAAGCATATAGAAACCACATGTGTATGTTATTATTTACCATTGTAATGAGAACAATAGACATTGCAACTGTATAGGCAGCAACGGCATAACTTCCATGTTTCAAACTGTTTGTCCAAATGCACGGTGACCAACACGAGCTAAGCCAAACCATTTTGAGTGTGCTTTTAAATTAAAGAAAAATGTTGAAATAAACTCGAGAGCGATCTGCGGATGTAATAAATAAATAAACACACATTCAATTAGCACATTTAATGGAAAACTTGATGCCAATTAAATAGTGATGACATGTTTAGGCGAAGTTTTTAGTCTTTCAGTGTTAACTTTAAAATTTATCATGAAATAAATAATTCGGTTGAATTTTACTCAAAAAATAATTCCAAACACTTTTTCTAATTTTTCAAAATTATAATTTCAACATAAATTGAACAGTGAATATGAACGACAACTGTCACGCATAGGCACGCCCAGGTATGCTTCACGATCAACAAACCACTTGCAACTATAACTTTACCTCACTTATTTACCTTTTTTAAAAGAAAACGTTTATTTTATTGTCCTTTTTGAGAACTCGTCTGTTTTATTAGCCAAATTTTAATGTAAAAAAGTGCTTACATTCAGGATGAAATCGAATTAAATCCTTTGATTACGAATTCGCCCGCTGCTTGTTATTTAAACAATAAACAAGTGGTATTTATTTGACGAGCGCAACACACACTCGTAATACACAAGTTAAGTTGGTTTGGAAAGAGAGCATACATAAGGAAATGTAAAACCAACTTCAGAATTGATAAAAACAGTTGAATAAAAAGTAATTGATTTGAATAAAAAGCGAGCTCATTTTTATTTAAAAATTAATTAAAAATTTTATTGAAAAAAAAAATATGTTTAGAAATTCGCTTCTTTAAGAAGAAATGTGAAAATGTTTGCTTTTTAAGTCAAAATCGAATTGAATGTATGATTCATCGAGACGACGATGTATCAATACGTGAATTCATTGTAATATGTGTTAGAGATCGCTGTTTCACGGCAAATTGAAAATGTGGTGGTGCCAGCGTTCGGGCAAAATATTTTGTGGTCATGACTTGTATTTAACATCGCTCAATACTAGTTCATCGCGCAATTCGTTCGCTCACCAATACACACAAATCGTTACCTCGCGAGTGTAAACGTTTATTGTTGTTATTGGTGTATATATTAACGCATACATAACCAGTAGCTGAACTCTCACAATCGACTATCTATCATCTACACAGCACAAGTCACAAAAAAATTGTACTTTTTGTGTGTCACAGAGTATTTGCTACTGCTGGTGCTGCTGAAAGTGTAAATTACCGTAAAATTATTAAAAAGTGATTTTTTCAATTCAAAACTAAAACCAACGATCAAAACTACCAGCCATAAGTTGCCAATTTTTTTCTTTTGCATAGAATAAAGTACGTAAGAATTGAAATGATGCAATTTTCGAGTTATTCAAATAGGATTTTTTTTTCTTCTACCGAAAGAGTGAGACAGTACAAAGTGATTGAAGTGGTGAAATGGATTCATTTTTTTTTGCAAATTTTAACATTCAAAATTGTTCGAATTGTTTATAAATTCAAATCTATTTGATTGAATAGTGTGAAATTTGTGATTGACTGTCATCAATTCTACCATTATAAAATCGAAACGACGAAATGACTAGTGGCACACAAAGTTCTACTATGAATTCGAAATTTCGATCACATACGTAGACAATGAACAAATTATTATTGGCACAATTCCAAAAAATATGTGCTCACAAACAAACGATCGACTTCCCAACATTTTAAAAAATCGAAAAAAAAAAAAAAAAAAAAATCTTGCAATGAAAGAATGGTTGAAACTAAAACAGATGACCAACATTGATTGCATTTTATATACACACACATTTATAAATTTATATATAAAAAAAGTTTGCATCCAATATAAAGAATAAAAGTTTCGTCTCATTTCAACAGTATTATTTCGTCTTGCCATGAAATTGATGAACCTGATTTTCTGTTCTTTTTCTTGAGCTATGACATATTTTATTCGAATATATGATATGATGTAAATGTATGCCTGTGCACACACATGAATCGCACATTTGTACACAGACCGTGTATCTGTTAATGTGTTTGCAAATTCGTTCTTTTATATTCTAAATGTTCATACATCTGAACGTAAATATATGTGTATTCTTTTTTTCGTCGTTTTATTCGAATACTTCTTTTTAATTAAAAAATAAATAAATCGAAAACTCATTTCATTTTCATCGCAATCAATGAATTAGCATTCAATTCAAATTAATCGAACCGAATTAGTGGCGATATATAAAATAATAATTTAAGCTGTATGAGTAATTTGTCATTCTTTTTCTCATATTTTCTCGAATTTGAAAGTCATCAGAATTTGATGACAGGTACATATGATCTGGACTGTGAGTGACTCAGTGTTTATTTGTTTGAAAATTGTGCACAAACCTCGAATTCAACTCTTCTCTTACTTGCAACTGATTTTGCCTCCCTAGAACTATATTATTTTCATTTATATCGTGAACAAAGAATCGATTTTTCGCTAACGTTGTTGTTGTTGTTTTCTTTGTTTCTCCTTTATTTCAAAAGCAAAAAAACGTAGTGTTATTTCAAGATGTCAACTCCAGCTCGGCGCCGTCTAATGCGTGATTTTAAAAGGTAAGCATAACATTTTTATTTTGAAACGGTATCAAATGTCGGAACGAATCTTAATGCGATTAAAATTGTCAAGTGAATGTTGGTATTGTTGTTGTTGAATCTTGCACAAGAAAATATTTATCGGATAAATTTGTGTGAATGTCAAGCGTAAAAAATAAACATATTCAAAAATCATTGCAAACTAATTGTCTCGATATCTAAGTAGTTCAATACAGTTTGCGAAATGTGCATAATGCGGCCATTGTCACAGCCGCATCAGTGCTGTATAAATACGACGCTTGCAATTCATATATCACTTATCCAATCATATGCTCGTTCGCGGCGCACCATTCATCGCGTACATTTAACGGAATCGATAAATTGATGAACACAAAGCAAAGAAGCAAAAGAGTTAAATAAACTCAATGTGCTTGTGTCGCTGAGGCTGTCTGTGATACACACAACAAACTAAAGACAACTAATCAAATTGAAAACGGACAGATCAGGTTCATTTAACAAACAATTGCGTAACGATTTCGTTTTATGAAGTGGAAAACACTTTTTGTGTTTTTCTCCATCGTTTTCGATCTTCGCTTTAACAAAAAACTGCCCGATACTATCGAAGCGAGAATTTTATGGGCAATTATAACGATAGCTATTTTTTTTTTTCTTCAAAGAGTTTTGATAGAATGCAATTTAAAATCGAAATGAATATACAATGCATGGTGCGCTTCAATGGACATCATGTGTATTTTTATAAAAAAAAATTGTATAGAAAATGCAGTGAATACACGCTAGATTACTATGCAATTAAATTATTATTGAATTGCAAACGTGAACGCCATTCGACGCATTGAATTCACATGAAAAGTGATAGATAGAAGAAAAAAGAGTAATACACAACCCATCAGGCTCATATATGTTTCTATTTTGGTGTGTTATAAAGACTCATGTGCTTTGAGCGAAGGCATTGCAACATGAATATACATTAATTGCAGCATAAGTAATAATACGAGTAATTATGTGCGAACGAGTGCGAAACGTGAAAACTTTCGCGTTAGTTGTTGGAAAGTGTTTTACAGAAAGCAAAATATAATAATCTTGCATATGTTTTCGCCTGTTTTGAATGCGCCCATTTTCTATCACACACTTTCTGCTATAATCGAATATGAAAATGAATTTTGCTGGTGATGGTGATCCAGCCGATACGGAAATCATATTGGAAATAAATTGCATTTCCGTTTTGAATGGAATGCTGAGCCATTTCAATGGAATTTCACCTTTTTCTCATTTATTGATTTCACTTTCATTTCATTTCTCAATCGATTGAGACAATTCGTTTTTATCGTCTTTTTTTCTACTTATCTAATCGTAATTTCTTGTTTTTCGTTGTGCACAGACTTCAAGAGGATCCACCAACCGGTGTTTCAGGCGCACCAACAGATAACAATATTATGATATGGAATGCAGTCATATTTGGTCCGCATGACACACCATTCGAAGATGGCACATTCAAATTAACGATAGAATTTACGGAAGAGTATCCAAATAAACCGCCAACAGTACGCTTTGTATCAAAAATGTTCCATCCAAATGTTTATGCCGATGGTGGCATCTGTTTGGACATTTTGCAAAATCGATGGAGTCCAACGTACGATGTGTCAGCGATTTTAACCTCAATACAGGTAACATTTTATAGCATTTTTTATTTCTTTATTTAAATCAAACATGATAAATGCATTGTTTTCATTTGTGTGATTTACAGTCGCTGCTTAGTGATCCGAATCCAAATTCGCCGGCCAATTCGATGGCTGCACAGCTGTATAAGGAAAATCGTCGTGAATATGAAAAACGAGTGAAAGCTTGTGTGGAACAAAGTTTTATAGATTAGCCCGAGTATGTACACATTCGCCGAATCAGTAGAGGCAAACGCAGCAATCTATTGAATCACATTGAACTCTTTGAATCAACAACAGAACATAAAAAACAACAACATTTAACATGGAGATCTTTAGTAATAATTACAAATCAATACATAATAATTTTAATTACACAAATCATATTGATACAAATGATTGAAATTCAAAATAAAAAAAATGTTCGAGAATCAAGATATTGTCCGATCGATAGATGAAAATACGATATTTAATGTATCATTGCTATTTGTTTATGGCACAAATATGATTTCAAAATACTCTCAATCGTTGTGTGAACTCCGTAAACTGTCATCGAAATTCAAATCAACATCGATGACAAGTGTAGCCATTTTTATGTATTTGATGCGGGTTGAGAGTTAATGTTCAAATTTAAAATCCCAAAAATTTTTTTCCAGTGTAACCTTTGAGAAAAAGAAAAAAAAATGTTTTTACCTAATATGTATACCAGAATAACCTTCGATTGGAAAGTTTTTTTTTTTAGAAAGAAAGAAAGAAAGAAAATGTGTTTTATTTGTTGTGTTGCATTTTTATAAAAGATGCACCGCTTAATGCTTTCAATTTTGTTTTCATGAATGTGTCATCGGTGTGTAAGAATCATTTCAACCAAGTAGCATTTGTTCTGATCAATTAACACATACAAAAATACCTTCACACACATATTTATATATCCTTTATACACGATTGGCTTCTCATAAATATGCCATAATGCTTCACAGAGGTTTTTTAGTACACATAGACAAAATAAATTGAAACATAAATGAAAACAAAAAAATCTATACCATTTTTGAATTGGAAATAAATGTAATGATCGTTTAGGATGCTAACGAGATCGAACGAATTCCTATTTGTCTACATAAATTTATGAATACTAATTTATGATTTTATTTAAAATAAAAAAAAGAGAACGTACATTCTATTGTACATGGAACAACTACAAAAAAAGAACAAGATAACGTGTTGAAGTGCATGTAGACATGAATGATTGAGGTGGTAAATAAATGAATTAAACAAATTTAAAAGCAAACAAACCTGCATTTTTCTTCATTTTTTCACGTTTTTATTTCAGAAAGCACCAGTTTCTTGAATAAGATAAAAGGTATATGGGTCTTAAATAAAAACGAAGTGTCTTTTTAATTTCATTAATAAGATTATTTTATTTATTCCATAGTTTTAAACCAAAATAAATGACAAAATTATGATGTTGGTTTTTTTTTGCAAAAAAATACGGTGTAATTTTTTCCTCGCCTAATCTTGTCGTGTCTTCAAGACTTTCTTTGTGATTTTGTCCTTTTCGATGATGTAGACAACGGCACCCCAACCCGAAATAGCATCACGATCGAATGCATTAACCATGGCTTGTGAAATGCATTCAAATAGTTGAGTTGGTTCCATATCAGGACGCCACAGTGTTTCGCACATACCATACAATTGTTCCGAACAAGTTCCGGCCACAACAAAATCGTCCGGATTATTTGGGCAACCAATTAAATCCATATTACAAATGAATGGTTCGAATGTTTTCGGATCGAGTCCAGCAATCACCGGTTCAATGAAATATGGACCAAAACGACGTTCATACAGGAAACTCGACAGCATTGCTCCAAATCGTTTTGGTGTAATTGCACGATTTTCACGAACTTCGTACAAATTTTTGCGGAACAATAGACGATCGTGTACCGTCAAAATATCCGATTGCAAACCAACCAAACCGAGAAACATATGCGGATTGAATTGAAACACTTTTTCAAAATCTGTGGTTATTGTTTGCGCTTGAACGCCAAAACGCAAATCACTGCCGATGGCCACACAATCCTTGCCTCGCATTGCTAATCGACAATAAATGAAAACAGATCACAAATTAGTATACGAATCATGACAATCAAAAATGCCGACGTAAAATTTAATTTTCATTGAAATAACTTACCCACAACACAGCCACCATTGTATGCTAAAATTGACATTTTCTAATCTATTCGCTTCTTTTAATATGAATTCAATACAAATTCGCAACTTTTTTGCGTGAAAATGAAAAGAAGAAAAATTGTTTGAATACTCTTGTGATTTGTTGTTAGCCAGTGACGGACTATGAATTTGTGGTTAGGATGACAGACACAAAATCTTAGTCTTATTTCTGACTTGTAATGGCGCTACGGCGAATTTGACCGAATTCGACACGAAACGTTCGCCACACACATCTTTCATCAAAGACTGCAATGTAGAAAGTCATTTGACATTTCGAATACGCAACAAACACAACCATTTGAAAGTACTTCGCATACACACAATAATTGCGTTGTTGTAATTGGTGAATGTGTATTTCAAATTTGAGTCATTTTATAATAATACGTTTAAACTATGTGTGGTCGTTCGTGTTTGTATGTTATAGAGAAATTGAATTTTTTCTTATTTCGTTTATCTTAAAATCTTATTTTGAAGATGTCAATAAATATGGAATGTGTTTTTGGTACTGTTTCAGAACACTTGCGCCTGACGAAATATGCAAGGCAACGACATACAAATCATTGGCAAAATCAGAAGATAAAATACCAAAATGGGAGCAACCAGAATATCGAAATGAGTATAATTGCGGCCGAGAATACAAGCCATCGTACAATCTAGCGCCCACAGACATTTCACCAGTTTTAATATCGTCTGCTCACTTTGACGATGATGAAGCAGACGATGTGACACAACACTTTCCGGATTTGGAAGGGTTTGACAGTGGTGATGAAAATAATGCAGATAGTTCGAAACAATTGCTTGTGCCAATGATGTGGGGAATGATACCATTTTGGCATCGTGGCGATTACAGCAAACATGGCCTAACCACAAACAATTGCCGACTGGAATCAATGCTCGAATCAAAACTGTACAAGCATGCGTTCAATAAAGGACAACGTTGTGTGGTTTTGTGTGAAGGTTTCTACGAATGGCAAACCACCGATCCAAAAGCAACAAAACCATCACAACGTGCCGCCTATTATATTTATATGCCACAACCGGATGGTATTCAAATTGAAATTCAAGATACATGGCAGAAATCGGTTGAGAAATTAAATCTGTTGAAAATGGCCGGATTATTTGATGTTTGGACAAATGATCAAGGTGAACAGATTTACAGTTACAGTGTGATTACATTCGAATCAGACGATACGCTTGGTTGGTTGCATCATCGAAGTCCGGCCATTCTTGAGACAGAGGAAGCTGTCGCCGATTGGATTGATTTCAAACGAGTTAGCGATACAAAACATTTACTCAGTTTATTAAAACCAGCAAAACATCTAAAATGGCATCGTGTATCCAATATTGTCAATAATGCCCGCAACAAATCCGATCAATGCAACAAACGAATGGAAAAAGTGGAAAAAGACAACACACCAAAAAGTCCAATGATGCAATCTTGGTTGATAAGAAAACGAAAATCCATCGATGAAAATGAGAGCGATGAAAAGAAAATTAAAACAGAGTCTAAAGATAAATGATAGCATATTAAGAGAAAATTCCGATGACATAAAACAAAAATAAAGAAAATGATTAAATTGTGTGTATAATTTATTTCGTAAATAAATGAAATTGCCGCCAATTTAGTGCTCATAAAGCACGAAACGGCGAATTGGCATCGGGCACCTCTTCAAAATGTGACGTCACATTTCAGGTTGGAATTGAACAGTCGTTCAACATATATTAAATGCATATGTTGATGTTGAATTGCATGTCTGTGTTGAAAGGCGACAAAAGTAGCAAAAGTAGAAAAAAATATATACATATATCATAGGCATTTGTGCACATCGGTAGCTTGCGAACAAAAGAAAAAGAAGGAAGAAATATTTTTACGCGCTACTTAAATATAATAAAATCCAACTAATTTGCGTTTATATTTTTGGTGCTTTTTTAATTCGTTTGTGTATTTTTTTTTAAATTACTGTCTGGCAAACCATTACATTATATTATCGATTTGACTGAATACTAATATCGAATGGGTAATATTACACATACGTTGAAAGAGAGATGAAAAAAAACATCCAATTGACAAGAGACAACCAACAATAGCGAGGAAAAAATTCCATTCGATTTCGGTCAAATTGTGAACATTCACGTGAGATATTGGTCACACGCTAGTAATAAATTAATTGTGCACAACAAACTTTCGACATAAAAACACAGACATTCATCGATCACATAGGCACAACAATTGTAGAGAGAAAAAATCCAACTAGAAAATTTCAGTGTTGTTGTCACAACCAAACGCAACCAATTTATATTTGAGTGACTGACATCGAAATCAAAAAGCCACAGAAAAAAAGGTGAAATAAATTTCTACGAAATAATAGAAATCTTAACAAATTCAAACAAAAAAAAAATTATTAATGACAAAGAGTTAAAACTATAAAATACTGTCATTTCGCTGTGTTTTTTTCTGTGGTGGGCAAGAAAGACAAGACGACCTATTGAATTGAAAGTAACACACCAAGAAAAAAAAAACATCTTAATTGTGACTGATTAATACAAGACAACCGTCGATCAATAATTTTTCGTTTGTCTGAATTAAAAGCATTGGATTGTCTTGGCCGTACAAAGTGCACCTTGATTGGGAAGATAAAAAAATTGAAATTGTTTTGTATTCTTGTTACTTTGGTTCCTTCGATGTTATCGAATCAGTCGCTGTGAAATAGCCGCATGCTCAAATCCAAAGGCAAAAAAAGAAGTGAATTGAAAAAGAGATTTAAAAAAATGCACTGAGAACATAGAGTACCATCGTAAAAATAATGAGAAAAAATACATTCAGTTGAATAGAAAGAACATCAAGTATAAAAATAGTCGGGCAGCTAAACGGCATTACACAGAAAAAAAACGAATACGCATATATGAAACGCGGGCCAAATAGTGAGTGAATCGAAAAGAGATAGCAAGAGAACGCGATTCAACGTTAAAGCAAAATAGAATTGAGAGTCAGTTGTGTGTGAGTGTGCGAAAAAAAAACCGAAGTTGAAATTGCTGTTATTTTTGTTGTTGATTCAATGAGAACCGAAAGCACAAACGCCACATTTTGCCCAATAGATTGATTAATATTACCGAAAAGAACACAAAGAAAACGCAACAAAAATTGAAAGACAGAAAAATAACGTGAATGTGCGATACGTTTTGTTGATTATTCGGTAGAAAGGTGAAGTCAATTTGTGAAATACAACTAACGTTTTTGACATAAACTCTGCTCGACTGAGATAAAGTAACGAAAGAAAAAAGTTGCTGAAGATATATCATAATCACCAAAAATAAGACGGAAAGACATACACACGAAATAGCAGCAAATTTAAGTTAGCATTGTTTCGAATTATAATGAGTCGTCATGAAGGTATGTGTAATTTTTGCTTAATTTTATTGTGGGTGTTTCAAATATCACTGAATCTTTTTTTAAAACATGGTTTTATGCATTTGCTTAGAACGAAGCATGACATTACATACAGCCGAATTGTGTCTCAGTAACTATTCTTTTCTCTCTCTCGCTCCCCCTCACTCTTTCGCATTGTTTCCGAAAACTTTTTTGTTTTGTTCATTGGGGCTACTCAATTTTCAAATGGTACGGAATTTGAGATTTATGTGCACCGTGTGTTTCATTATTCATTCGTTATTTAGTTGGTTGTAATCACTACAATTATATAATTGACAATTATTTCTAATTATATTTGAAATTTGAAGTGGTCCATTATCGTTAATGAAAATGTCAAGTTGCATTGATTTAGAAACTGTGCTCATGTCATCCACTGACACTTAATGAGCACCTGCTAACACGTCTATGTATTCGGTTGAGCACACATTTTTTCTATAAAAAAACGCACATTCTCAATGACCGTCTGAATTATCGATTTCAATTGTTAAATTTAGCGTCGCGCATACATCATCAATTTTAAACGCAAAAAATTAATAGCCATTCAATCGTGATGATCGAATCATGTCAACAGCATTTGCTGAACATTTTAAGCTATAAAAAAATAAAACGATGTCTGTAATGGATTGTTTGTTGACGATATTTAATATTTATTTCAAATATGTCGTGAAATTTGAGAACATACAGTTTATGTTCCCATTTTTATTTTTGAAAATAATTAATTATAAAATGCACGATCAAAAATGTAGTGATTATCATGCACCCTTGTACTCTCTCGTTTTTCGTCATTACTTTCATTTCCTGTGCACATTTGTTGAATTAACATTCATTTAACAGCCGTCAATTGTACACAAATTGTACGTCGTTTCGCAGATGATGTGTCTTAATATTTACATTAAATGTGTGCCATGTTTCGAAATTTGAAATAAATTTGGCACATTTTTTTTTTCGTAAATTCATCAAGGGCAGCACATTTTTAATACGTTGCGAATTATAGAATTTAAGGCGCACATTTTATTCCCAGGTTTTTAAGCAATACACACAGCTCTCTCAACACATCGTTGCAAAAAAAAAAACACATCATTTCAAAAAAAAAAAATTAATGTTCACACTAAAATCGTATTTTCGCAACTATTTTCGCGTTAAAATGACAATAAAAATATTTTATTGAACCAATTGAAAATTGAAAATCATCGTAATACCATTTATAGTTGATATTATATATAGATGCGTATTGATTGAAATATCGAAAAAGCAGAAAAATGATTCATCGAGTGAAAGGATATAAAATGAATTGGCGCATAAATGTGTTTCAATGGATGCGGCAAACTGTAAAGTTTTGATGATTTTACCGCTGTACAATGCACTCATTTTTCAGCAACCCGAGAGATCACTTCGAAAATTATTGGATGTGCTGGCATATTATTTTTGGCACTGTTTCACTGGAATTTATTTTATTTTTTACGACCAAATTGCAACAAAACGCAAAAATACGAGAGAACGCGCGAGGTAACGACCATATAATATATAACTTGACCGTTTTCACATCAGAAAGAGAAAAACCGAATCACTTATTTCATATTAAGAAAATACGAAAAATGTTCGCGAAATTTGGTGTCATACCATCTATTTTTATCGCTTTGTTTTGAATATTTAAATCAAATTTCGGATCAGAAAAGATGGGACCAAAAAAAAATAAAGATGAATATTAAAAGAAGTAATGATTTTATATACTGAGTTCTTGATAAAGTACTATATGTGCTTTTCGTCATATTCTCAAGTCCAAATTCTATTGATATGGTCACACGACGCAAAGCATTGCTCATTTGTAATCTTGTTGTTAAAATTACTTAATGGTGGCCAACAAGTATGAAAGAGAAAAATTATTGATGCGGTCAGCTGTTTAGTTGTGGTCACACTCGAACACTTGAATTAAATAAACTACTGTACACTACACTTTGCACAATCACTGCTCCCCCAACCATGAAAAAGAAACACTTACTTTTATAAGAAACTAAAACTTGTCGCTTCAAATACATATAAATTATGTATATTTGTATATAGACACCACTGCATGGTCGCATTGAATAAATAAATTTGGTCGAAAGGAAGTTTTGGCTTTTCTATTCCAATATTTATATCTTAATTTATTCGATTTTGACAAAACAACAATATATTATCGCAATATGTGGCTGTCGTGTTTTTAACGAGGATAAACTTATGTTCAAAAAGTTTTTTTTTCAACATTTTTCCATAGAAATGTTGGAGATATTACAATGCCAAAGTACCATGGTGGAATGATTTATTTTGGATGTACATGTTTTGTCAATTGGAAATGATCCGATTTAAATGACATTCGAGTGTCTTTGACGTATCTGTTTGTTGTGCAAGCGATATAAGTAGATAAATTTCATTTATTTTGCATACCAATACAAAACGAGGACACCAACAACAAATCCCATAACAATATACTTACAACCAAAAACCATAAACTTTTCTCTGTCGATCTCGTTTATTTTCATTGCTAATTTAATTTGTAAGTATCAAAAAAGTTTGTTCGTTCTGTTTTGCAACCGTCGCTAACAACCCCGAGGGTTTGACATTTGTATGAATATCGACTAAAATATAGTAGCGTATGGTCGATGTAGACGGAAGGAAAATTTTGCATTGTGACATTTTTTTTTTCTTTCGAATCGAATTTTCAGTGTGCAATTTGATTAATTTTGTATATAAATTACTTCTTCGATTATTTTATAACAACGTTAATGCATCCAACAATTTTTGGTATTGTGCAAAAAGGAAATTTAATACAAAAAAGACACGAATAACTTACTAATTTTTCTTGAAGATAACAAAATGACGCCAGGTGAACAGTTTTGAAATTAATTGCTACGAAGCAAAAAAAAAATACAGACCAAAATTACATGTCGATCGATTTTTCCTCGAGGAGAAAATGCGATTTTTCTCTTCTAAGAACGTCTACGGTGACATTTAGTTCAATTTATCAGAAAAGATTACAATTTTGTCTCCGTTTACGCTTGACATAAGCTGGCGACTAGCGATTATTTTGTCTTCTTTCCTAAATGTCAATGAGATTTAAGTGTCGTGTTTTACGTAATCAGTTCTCGCAGAAATGCATGCATGATTCATCGTCCAACGTTGTTTATCTGAGGATGTTTAGATTAAAATTGAACAGAGTCAAGTGACAAATTAACGCTTTAAAAACAACATTTCACAAAATCACACATTAAACAAATGAAATGTTTCGTTCTTTGCATTGTTCGCACTGTTTTTCATATGTTTTAAAAGAATGTAAATTTTTATTAATTTGTCTTTATCTCTCTCTCACACTTTTTCAATAGGTGTTAGCTGTGATGCTTGTCTAAAGGGTAATTTTCGGGGTCGACGCTACAAATGCTTGATTTGCTATGATTATGATTTGTGCGCTGCTTGCTATGAAGAAGGTGCGACAAGCACAAGTCATTCGGTCGAACATCCAATGCAATGTATTTTAACGCGTGCTGATTTCGAAATTTATTATGGCGGTGAACCATCGAATGGCGAACAGCCACAAAGCTTTACGTGTCCTTATTGCAAGAAAATGGGATTTAGTGATACAGGTTTATACGATCATGTAAGCGCCGAACATACAGACACTGGCCTAGAGGTGGTGTGTCCAGTTTGTGCTGCACTTCCTGGTGGCGATCCAAATCTAGTCACAGACGATTTTTCTGGTCATCTTACACTCGAACATCGGACCGGACCACGAGATTTAATCTCATTTCTGATATCCTTTTTCAATAGCCAATTTAAAAAAAAATCAATTTTTTTTCCCATTTCTAGATAGATTTAATCATATTTTGTTGTTCACATAGAAAATATATTTTCCTTAACCGAATAAATACGATGAACCATCTGCGATTCGTCATGGAGGCGTTCGTCGTATGCCACATTCAGGCCGTGCATTAGGTGGACCACGACCTCGACGCTCAAATATGCATTTAAGTTCGTCAAGCGGTTTGTCAACCCTATCGCCGTCCGGTCGTGAATCGGTTGATCCGATTGCAGAGCTTCTATCACAGTTGAGTGGTGTTCGCCGTGGCAATCCACCACCATCTCAATTGCAACAACTTCAGATGCAAATTCAATTGGAACGACAACAAGTATCGGTATGAAATTCATTTGCCTCAAAAAATGTAATCTAATCGAAATAAACTAATAATACGCTTTTTATTTTGTTCATTAGGCTGCACGTCAACAACTAGAAAGATTACCTCGTCGACCACAGCCAGTGTCATCGTCATCAGCTTCAAATGCTTTGAATAGCGGTTCGTCTGGAAATTCAAATGGAATTGGTTCGACAAGCCAGTCGAACAACAATAACAATGCCGGTCGTGATATAACAATAACATCAAATCCTCTATTATTGGCAGCTGCTGCGGCTGCCGCATCATCATCAAATTCAAACATTGGATCCGGTTCGAATGCAAACGGTATGATTGGATTTGGGTCGAATATTAACACAAACATTTTGGGTATGGGCTTTAAAACACCATGGCACTAAACTTTATCATCAACTCACTGATTCAATTGCGATTGCCCAATATTGAAAATATATTTCGATTATATTCTTTAAAAATTAGGTACGGCCATGCAAAACAATGCAACAAATCAATCGAATCCGAATAACCGATTCCTGTTGACCCGGTTCACTCAACCAACACTAGATGAATCAGATTTAGCTCAGCTCGAACGCAGTCGTACTGAAAGGTGAATATACTCACACTTATGTTTAATCGATCTACTTGGGCGTCAATAATAAACACGACACTTATTGAATTATTAATATTTTTTGTTTCGAATATAGATCGCAATTCGTGCAATCATTACTGTTGTCGACATTATCGATTGCTGATGAAACCGATGAACAAAACAATATACAGGATATTACTACGGATCCAGAACAAATATGTGATGATGATATGGCAAATACAGTATCCGATTCGGTAACATCGAACGCACCAATGGCACGCGCCAGTGAATACGAAGAGGCGAAAAAGAAGCAAGAATCCGCATCACACAGCGATTTGGATCCACATCCGCCACATTTGTCTGGTAAGAGAAATAAGATCGAAAAGTACCCCGATCGTAGACAATCAACTTTGTATTTTTTGTATTTTTTTTTGTAGCTCCACAACCGCAGCAACGTAGCAGCTCAAAACCGAAAACTGGTTCAAGTAAATCGAATCAATCACCACCAAATCCACAAACAACAAAACCAGCACGGGAAAAACCTGTAACAATGCCCAGCGACACACGGTAGTTTGCGCGAGACCAATGTCTCAACACCGATTAGCAAATGGATTGAACTACACAAACACGACACTACAATACAATTTTAATGAACCGTTTGCAACGCAAACTCACACACAGCTGCTTAAACAACATGTTATATCCTTAAACTGAAGTGTAAGAACAGAAAAAAACGGATTTAAAAGATTTAGTATCATCGAAATTTAACTGTATGAACATTATTCGGCGGGGGCGACATTATAATTCCTGTTGTCATCGTGCGTATATACATTTCTATTTTCTTCAAACGATTCTATTGAGGGACACAAACAAAGAGAGCAAACACCTACATTTAGCCCAAGTGATTATAATAAGAGATGAGGAAGAGCTGCGTGATTTGCTTGTAAGAATTCAATCCGTATAGATTGTATTTTTATATATTATTTCGTGGAAATGAACATTTGTGATATGTGTTCGGGCTAAACTAAAAACTTCAAGCATTTGACCTGCAATCACTTCACTATTTTGCTCGATATCGAAGATGTCTTGTGATCATTTTACTGCATGGCAAGGTCAATCACAAATCTTTCATATACATACATACACACAATTTAATTTAACTTGAAAACTCTCACATTTTATTGCGTATGATTTTTTTTTAAACTTTTTCTTTCATTTATGATATACTCTTATTATATTAAATTAAACAAAACAAAAACAAGAAACTCTTATTAACAAAATAGCCACAAATTTAGTTTGTTATTGAATTCCAAAGCCAAAATCTTCTACATATGAAAGAAATTGCAAAAAAATTATTTAACAATACAACAAAAAAAATGAAGAAAAAAAGATATAATGAAATTAAGTTTCTTTTTTCTAAAACAAAAATCATAGAAATTCACGAGCAAAATGATGTATGAGCTACTGATGAATTGTAAATTATTCTTAATAATAATCCGAAATAAACCTCAAAAGGATCTATGAAAAATATGTGAACATTGACGCATTTTTATCAAAATTATTATCACCTCTTTTATTGAAAGATAGTTTGTGAGCGAAAGAAAACAACGTGCAGGCGTGACGTTTTAAAAGATTTAAAAAAAACTCTTTATTAACGTACATGGTAAGATGTAACTTATGCATAATAAAAAACCCAATCACGAAATTATTGCATCAATAAATATAATATCTTATGTGATGACTTTAAGCTGTTTGAAAGTTTTTATTAAATGTTAGTTGTTTTTAGTTTTCTACATTTCTCCTACAATCAATAATGTCCTTCAGACGGGTAAATGTTTGCATATCGAAAACAACTTGAAATCAAATAATATTTAAATCAATTTCTTAAGAATTAAGCTTGGTATCAAAATAGCATAGTTTTGTCTTGAGATGATGGGTAAGTTGTGCAACAGAGACAAATGATAATCACAAGCGAAGATCTCTTATAAGCCAAAAAAGTGTTTACAAGCTTAAACAGCACTATCCATAACGTCTACAAGCCGCTTGATGTCTTTTCTGTAAAAAGAAATCACGAAAGATTATTAAAGGTATACCCTGAATTTATGAAAGCCACCAATTCTATTCAACTAACATTCTTGAGGCTAGTGCTTCTGTGTTTTTCATCTGGTTCGATAGCTCCTCAGTCTTTGCCATTACCGTGTACATTGTTTTGATGTTGGCATCCATGCAATCGGTCAATTTATTTACGGCATTTTTATAACAGTCAACATTATCAGCAGTTATTGAGGAAATCTACGGAGACGATAATAATATTTAAATGTGATATACTTCGGTTGAGCATTTGGGTAGTTTACCGAATGTAACAAATTGCCCAGATTTTCTGTGATTCCATCCAAATTGGCTGCTAAATATTGTGCTTCGATTTCAATATCGTTCAGTGCATTTGCGTCAATTTGTGGAAAAGCAGTGAAGAATTGTCGTTGAATCTGTTCTGTTGCTGTTTCAGTTGGTAGCACATCGTTTCTCGACATGTGTTTTCCTGTATTTACAACGTAATAGTCTCACATTACAGCCTGTACATTGAAAATTTAAGAAATATTGACCTACCATCTTTGGGACTTGCTGTTTTGATTTTATACTCTAAATTATCTGCAACAAAATGTGTCATATTGCCGTCATCAACACGAAGTGATCCATGGGGGAATGATGCTAAAAAAATTGAATGCATTGTCATTGTTTTTCCATTTTGCCATTATTAATTTAATAATAAACACTTACATTGACTAGAATGATGACGATTTAATGAAGATGGTCGTCGTCTTGGAATCACTATTGATGCATTTGATTCAATGGGCAGTTCATTTGTATGTGTAGTTGGTGAATTTAAAATTTCACTGTACGACTCTGTCATCGATGCTTTGGCCAGAAAATCGTCATTCTTTTTTGCTTCATCTTCCACATTTCCTGAACTTGAATCCTCCATTATCCCGTCTTTGTTTAGTTGTTGATCTGACATTGTTTTCACTTTTTTCTAAGCAACTAAACAATGGAGTAATATATATTGTAAACCTTCAACGATGTGTCAACATTGAATGACTTTTCTCGACAGATTGACAGATAGTTTTCAGTTGTGTGCTAGATGTCGACACTGACAACGTTAAACTCATTCACAATTCGATGATTCAAATAGACGATTTCTTCCAATTTTGTCCAAATAAAAATTTGAATATGAACACAATCAAAGGTGGTAGATAATTAAAAATGTGTCGCCGTTACTAATTATGTGTATTTAAAACTAGCTCCATTTTTGATATAGAAAATCCATTGATTTGATGTCCAAAATGAGTAGTTTTTGTCACAACACCATCTTAAGCTTGACCGTTGCTAAGTTCATCAAATGGTTTTTATTACAAATTTCGTTCGCCGCTTATGGTAATTGGCTATGCCGAATGGTCTAATGCACACCCACAAGCATGTCTCGCAAACATGTGCTGTGCCATTCATCGAAAACAGCGACTACGTTTATGCATGAAGCACAGCGCGAGCGGGAGTTTGAGGTGCAATTGCTTTATTTAGTTAATCAATAACACATTGATGCATTTCCATTCCATGCGTGTTTCGTGTGGTGCGGGGACCCTTTTCTCATGTTATTCACAATTTCTGCAGTTCCTTTCATTTTTCTACTGCTTCTTATTCAATCCAACAATCGAATACGACGATATTATTTGAACGATATAGTCGAAAAACTGTTGTTGATAGTTTTTTTTTGTGTACGTTTGTATTTGATTGTTGTTTGCTTTGTTGTTTTTATTTGATATTTTTTCTTTCTCCATTCTCGCCGTCAATACATAGCTACATCGTCACCTGGTAGTATAAGTATGTGTGCGTGTGTGAAAGGAAATCCAAGCACCGCTTTGTTTGGTGAAATTATTATTTATTTTTCCTTCTTCTCTCGTTCGTGTTGAAAGAGCACGATATCGATAGCACTACAAATATCTGTATACATTCACCGACATAAATGCACACACACACATTGAAACGAGGATCGTTTTAGGCATTGAACATAAGGCAAAATTAAAAATTCAAATGCGTGTGCATGTGTGAGTGTTGTTTTGTTATTATGCTAACAACAGGCAACGTTTCCATAAAACCGAAAGAGTCGCTTGATGTTTTGTGATCTAGTACATTGATGAAGAGAGAGAGAGATAGAAGAAGAAGAAAATGAAGCAGAGAAAAGTACGACCGTCTCTCTGTGCAGCACACACAACATAGAATCATCATTGGCAACAAAGCCAACAAATTATTTGGTTCGGTTGGTTTTAGTTTATATTGCAATGGCAAGCGAAGAGGACGAAGTTCGTGCGTTGTTGATGCGACATCGCAAACAAATCATACGAGATGTACATGAATCGGAATTGGTGACGGTTCTCACACAAAAAGGAGTGCTTAATGCAACAAATCAAAAGCAATTGAGTGAAATTCAATCGGAATATAAATATAGTAAATTTGGTTTGAATAACGGATCAACTCCGATTATAAAAAATTTATCGGACACAGCAAACGGTTATGCGACCAATGGCAGTGGCAATGTCAGTGAATCAAATAAATGTAATATCGACAGTGAAAACGAATTGGATGAGAAAAAGTGTACATTTTTGATAGATGTGATCGCACGAAACGGCTTCGAAAAATTCAAAGAATTTTGCTATGCCATTGAACGTGAGTGTCCAAAATTGATTGAGGATTTAATCGCCGATCGACTTAGTAGCGGTAAGTTATGTACAATCATTTGTTTACTTTATAATCGGATACGGTGCGAACGCTATTATAAATCACAACGAAAACAAATATTACTCGCACAATTTTCCAATGACATGAATTTAGATTACATTTTAAACAATGACTCACCAATCAATATTTTATCAAAGGTGTGCATGCGTTTCTTTCCTCTCTCTCTCTCCCCTCGAATCCAGTTTAATGCAAAAGAACAGTAAATCGTTTGTATCGTTGCTTACACATTTAGTGTTGTTTTTTTTTTGTTTTTGTATCTAAGTTAGTCGGTTAAGTAAGCGCCTCCAACGATAGGTACTATGTTAATAACATAGCAAGACATGGCAAATTGCTTTTGATTTCAATTAAAGTTAATAGAAACTCAAACGTCAACAAAGCAGTTTGTACAGATCAAACAAACTGCGAGATTATGTCAGTAACTTCTGGTATCAAAGAAACTGGATGTTGAATAATAAAACTGTGTGGTCTGTTTTTAAAAAATAATAATATAAAAACCATGCATGTTTACAAAACTACCGCCTTACTAAAGGTTATGCATAGCTCTTGAGTTAGTTGAACATTTTCCACTTCAACCATTTTAATTTTTCAATATATTTTTTTTTTGGCTCGTGAAAATCAAGTGAGTTTAATAGAGAAAATATAAAAAGAGAACGAATAAAAAAAGCTGGAGAAAGATTGTGCATTATTTTTTTGTATATAATATTTTGGGCACTCGAGTAATTCCACTGAAAGCGTGCATATGTAAAATGCCGAAATAAAAACAAAATTGTCTAAAATGCAATAAAAGACGTCAAGCCGTTCTTCAGTCATCGAGTGTCAGACAAGTATACATATAAACAACTACACACCATACAACAGCATTCCAGACACTGCAGTCTACAATCATGGTTCCCTCAAATTATATATTAATTCATGGGATTCATATTTAATGCTTTGTGTCTGTGTCTATGACTATAGTATAGACTCCAAACCATCTATACATACACTCGTGGATTATTTCGTAGCAGTGTAATAACATTGTGTCCTGTCAAAAGACACATTCCAAAAACAAAATCCGAATATGACAGAGTTGCTTCCATTTGAGCATTCAGTTACTTTTTCCATCAATCTCTCTATTTTTCACACACACATGTGTGTGTTTTGGTATTTCCTGAATGTGTGCTTCTAAATATAATTCTGGTATTTGGTCTTTTTTTTTCACTTGGATTTTGTTACGATACAACCAAACACAGAGAAACTGATGAAAAAAAATGCCGATTAAACCGATATGAATCAAACAACACCAACACAACTTTATGTACCGCAATGCGTCTCGGTTGATTTTTTTCTCTCTCTCTACCTGAACATAAATTGAATTATTGTCTGAGACCTTAAGTTGATTGTTACGTCTATTCCAAACAATTTTACTACACATTTTGAATAGTCAAACCAGAAAATACGAAATTAAAGAAAGTGACGTAAGTTACAATTTTGAAATAGAAACTCCATTCTTTCTTTTTCTTGTCGCAATGATTTGTAGACCAAAAAAGATCCTTAAATTTATTTAATATGGCTAATCGCTGGAATGATCAGAAAGAATCCGCGTTTCATTGCGGTCAAATTAAAAAAACCTTGAACTTCACGCATGATCAAGCTTATGAAGAAAAATAATACATTTCGAGCAGTCGGTGCCTTTATATTGTTCCCTTTTATTGCACCACATTATCACCAAACGGAAATAACTCTGAATGCTTTTATTCTATATGCCATTCTTATGCTCATAACACAAATATGTTTGGGTACAAGTACTCTTTTATGTTGACTCGAATGAACAATGAAAGATAAAAAGTGATATTATTGCATGTGAATCGTTTGAATGCTTGGAATATTTCATTTTTTCACAACACAAAGCGATGTGATAGAAATCGATTGTATCTAGTATGGCTTGATTATTAAATGTCATAAGACATCTAGATAGCTCGAAGTTTTTCATTCTACTTTATTATCAAGTTCGATTTAATTATCATCGAAAACCAGAAATAGACATTCAATCAATTGTATCTTTCGAACTTTTTGTTCGATTTTAACAGGAATTGTACTTGTGATACATGATTAATCTACATATATGATTGCTTTCCGATCAAAATTGAATTGAAACAACAATACACGCACAATTGTTGGTGTGTTTGAGGCGAGATCGAAGCCGAATCTATGCCTAACACATTGTTTTGATATGGAATGAAATGAAGTTCTCAGTCAGTTTAAGATCAGACAAGTAATTATGTAATTTCCATTAAAAAAATTTCAAAAAAAGAACATTGTGCTAAAAGAAACAACTGAACAGTAACATGGTGTATATTAATGAGTCATGCACGCTATGGTAATGTTCAATTTAGAGCGTCCATTTACTCGTTCTTGAGATGAATTGTTCTTGTATCGACCTCTTCTTCTTACCATTTTTTCTTGTTTCTCACAAAGTAGAAAATCACGCACCGGCAAAACCACATGATGAAGTGAAGAAAAATAAAACAAATTTAATCGTGGCAACGTTGTATGCGTTGAATGTGTGATCATGGATGTTTAAATTACGTAGTACGAGATGGAAAGAGAGAGCGAGAGAGAGAGAGAGCGAAAGAAACAAAGAAGAAAAAAAGTAGAAGATTTGTTGACCGAGTATTCATGAGAGCCAGTAACACTGTAACATGATCGAACGCCAAGATGATGGTTGGTGATGTAGGTCTGTCTAATGAATATGTGTTGTACTGCCCGCTTTTTTTTTTCTAAATCACATGAAACAAATCGAGTGTCGACGATAAGAAAGGAAAATGCATGATTTCGTGAAGAGAGAGTGTGTGTCTTTATACTCAATATTTCCCATCACTAACACAATAGACATTAATGATTCGGCAATGTAATGATGGCTCTGATTGATCCTTGAGAATTCCAAACTCAACTCTTTTTCAGCCGAACAAATAAGGTTTTTTTCTTTTTCTGTGTATTTCATTTCGTTTTTATTTATTCCATTCGGGTAATGTTCATGATATATTTTTTTATATTCAACTCCTTCGGTTGAATAATAATAATAATAGCCGAACGAATCAAAGCACGTAAGCGTGATGAATTATTGTTTTCAAAAGTATATGGTTGCTGGAGAAAAACGAGATGAATATATGGAATGAAAAATCGAAAACAAAACTCAAAAGCCGCACATGTTTATTTTCACATATTATTTTTTGAGGCTCTCTAATAATACCAACGAAAATAATTAGGCATATTATATCGAACAATGTAGGTACGTTTGCTGTT